GCAGCTGAATGTCACCGACGTCTTGCATCCTTCACTTGAATCTGAAATCTGGGGGGTGCTGACAACATCTGCCGAAAGTTGTGAGCTGTAAGGCTGCTACGTGGCGGTCTCGAAAGGGGAGGATTTGGGCCAGCCTGACGCTCCTGCGCAGTTTATGACGTGTCCATGTCACATGTACTGTATTGCTCTTTGAGATTACGAACCTTCTTGCTTCTCTCCGTAGAGCAGCGCTGAGTCACTCGCGAGTTTTGATGGGAAGTGCTTGGGAACTTTCTCAACACGGTTGCCCTCTACCTAGGATGCAATGGTCAAGTTGGCGCAGCAGATGATGGACATTGCGCGAAAGGCTACGAAATTTCGAAACAATCACAGACCATGAGCTTGCTCTCATTAAGCTCTTCCGTCTTCCGTCGGTCCGCCTGCGTACAGATGCCTGCACTGCATATTGCCAGGCAGCTGTATATGCAAACATGAATGTCCCTCGTCTGTCTGTCTATCTGTCTGTCTCAGGTCCGCCCTCCACTACTCCTGAAAGCCGATAGTATCCTGCAAAGTATCTCGGGAGCACCCACCTCCAGAGTATCTCCCAGAGTATTTGTGGAGTGTCCATGAAGCATTCACAAAGCGTCCCGCAGAGCATCCTTCCGTCCAAGCCTAGAATGTCCTCTAGAGTATCCGCAGAGTGCTTGCCCCCAGCGTATCCATACCATTTCTGGATTGCCCAACGCCCAAGCATCTCGCAGAGCATTGAATCCGCACACAGAGTATCCCGATCTCCGAAATGCCCACCCAGCCGACACGTCGTTTGCTCAAGCTCCAACACATGCTCTTTGTTCATCGTCATCATCATCAGCCACATTCATCAACCGTTCTTTTGATATTTCCAGCCCCTGCTAAACCTGCAAACCCGAACCTGCACCTGCATAGGCTTTACAGTTCCTACCGTACCGTAACAAATCATGGGGTGCGTAAGCGTGCGGCGTTCTAAACCCCGTCTGTGGAAGTTTGGATAAACGTGCCAACTGCCTTCTGTCGTGCGTTCTAAAATGTGTGACTAGCGCCAAATCCTGCAGCGGTGCTGCCGCGCACTTACGCGATTTCCCAGTTTGAAGCCAGTTTTACTGATGCGCACATAGGACAACATTCAAGCACAGACTGTTTCATGCGGCACATCCCTATCCATTAGCCGACAGAAAAAAGCGGATTCGATTGGTAGTTTCAAGCGGATTGGGCCCGATTGGTGTTTTCAAGCGGATCCACGAGGTTTCCGTGAAAACCAGGCGAAACAAAAACCTAGCGGGGAACCAATAGGAGAATGGAACAAAACCAAGCGGAGCATCCAGCAACACGGGTGTTTGGGTGGGCTTGAAGCCTGCGATTTCTGGTTTGCGCAGGCCTTCCACAGGCCTTCACAGGTAGGAACAATGCTACCATTTCATTCGCGCGCACTGTCGCGCTCCGAGTCCCAGCTGATACGTTTCTGAAGTCGAAAGGCTATCTCGGCGGAGGGCGGGTGTAAAAGTTCGTTCCGTGATGCTGAACGGGGCTGGCCGTCGCACGGCCGTGACACCGAACCGGGCTGGCCGCGATACATCTGTGCCGCTGAAAGTGGCTGGCCGTCCGTGACACTACATAGTGCTTTCCGTGACTGCTGCGACACTACACCTGCCGGACGGGAGATGTGGTGGTGAGCATCCGGTGGCAGTCAGCGAACGAAACGCATCACGCACAACATCCCGGCCAGTGCCACAAATGCGCCCTGCACGGTCATGGAATGTCATGGAGCCCTGTCGGAGACCCTTCAAGTCAAGTGTCGCAGAGCCACCCGCAAAGCGTCACGGAGTCGTGTCGAAGCCAAAACGTCATAGTAATGCATCGCAGAGAAAACCCATTAACACGATCCCCAAGCAAACCAGGCGAGGCCCGCTGGAACCAGCTCTGCAAGCAAAGTTGATGCCCTACGACCTGCTAAGATGTTGATGATGCGATAGAAAAATTCTGTCGTGGTGGAATTGCTCTGAAGTCTGCACGACTCACCCCATCACCACTGCAGGAGGACGCGGTCGGGGCCACTGTTATAGATCATTACTAGCTGCCTAGCTCGTTTGTCAGGCCACTGCTTCATGGATGTTGTTTCGCATTCAGCGACAGTCAGAATGCCAGTCGAGAAGACCGAAGTAGCTGGGGCAGCCTCACATCCACTCACATCCGAAACAAACGCCTGTCGACGCGCCTTGGCAGGCAAATCTGCCAATGTGCATCGGAATCCACTCAGATCCTTGCCTGCAAGTGCAGCAGATCTCATGCAAGCTTGATGCTACGGAAGTGTCTGTTTCTTAGCGCGAACGAGTCATGAAGGGGAACCCTGATGACTGTGCAGCTCACCTGTAGCTCCGTAGCTCCATGCTGCACTTCCACGCTTGCAGTCTTGACTGCATCAAGCGTGCCGCCCGCCGGACAACATAGTGTGCCTGCACGTAGTTTCTGCCCTGACTGTCTGCAGGGAGTCCGAGCTCTAAGCTCGGAGCAATTCTTGTTACGTCGCGGTTTGGATTTCCGAGTTTCAGTTGTGCAGAACCATGTCCCAGGTCAAAACCAGACGCCATACACACAAGAGGCAGACGAACTGTTTTTTTGTGGTTCTCATGTCGGCTCGCTAGAGACTGGATAGTCCTATCTAAGGATGCGACTATTCCGGTCATTGCCCGCCGCAGAATGTCCAAGCGTGCTGCACATGCGGACGTGTTTTTCAGTTCGACGGTTCAAGAAGTTCCGGGGCTCAACAGCTCAGCATTTGGTACACCTCGGCGAGATCAGCTTGGGACACTGACTTGTGCTGAGGCCAAAGCTCTTTGCGATGAGGTGCCTTGATAGCAACTCTTCCGGATTTCACAACTTCATCTGCCACGTTGCTGAGGCTGCTGACAACAGGATCCTCGTCTCTCATGGGGCCAGATGTCGACTCAGCGCAGATGTGGAGGCTTGTGACGGGCTGTGTCTGTGCGCTTCCAGACTCGGCTCGGGACGCTTTGGGGAATGGCGAGCAAGGGGCAAAGGGCGAAGGGGCCCCGAAAGGCAGAGATGCAAAAGTTTGGCTTGCGTCTGCTGGACAGTGGAGAGCACACCCTCCGAGACAAGCTGCCTGGACTCAAGGATAACCCGATCCATTTGTACGTGTTCTGCTTGGCGCCGACGGATTCCTGATTCCTGTAGTAGAGCTATTCTAAGTCCAAGAGGTTTTGTACTGTTTGCGCATAGTATACCCGCCTTACACAAAAAGAAGTGGCTGCTGGAATCTGGAGCTAGGCGACTGCCGCGGAGTTTTGAAGCATGAATCTGCATTTCTACAGTCATCTGCTCATGCTTGGGTTCATGGACCTAATCCCTGTATGTATCCGGTAATGACGGCAACGAGAGTACCTTTATCTTTATCCAGACAATTTGGGAATTTTGGAGATTGGGCCGGCGTCGTGTGCGAGAGATCATTGTTGTGCAATGATGTGCGATGGCTCGTGGTATCTTCGCATAACTCAACTAAGGTTTTATTACTTTGCCGACAAGAACGAGGCGCCTGCGTTCCGCATTGCATAGGGCTCTACAGTTGGAGTTTTGTTCCGTTGATTCTTGACTGGCCATGAGGTTCCTGGTCGGGCGTCTTCCCCACTTCGAGTGCAGCGAGTGCCGAACGTGGGACGAAGTGAGGACCAAGCCAAAGAGGAGGAGAAGGCGAAGGCCACAAAGGCCGTCGCTTGGTATTGGTGTTTGGCGCGTACGTGCGGGGGTTGTTTTCGAAGAGCTTTCTGTGGCACTATCCACCTGAGAGGAGGAGACCGGGCAGATACCGGATCGGAGCCATGTCTGCATCCACGGCTGCAGCTCCGGCCATTTAAGACGGCCCAGCAAGCATTAGGCTTCCCACAGGCAGACTCTGTGCAGCCTCGACTTGAGGGGCTTCTGTCTAAGCTAGAGGCCTCCTTCCTTAAGTTCGACAGGCTTTGTGTCTTGGACCTTCCCAGGACGGTTTCGCAGCTCCAGGAGGACCAACTGCTTGAATCTGGAGTTGCCGTCGTATCGCAGTCATGCAGTCCACACCCTGAGAAAGTGTTTGGTGATGAACTTCTGATAGTTGTTGTGGAATGTGGCGGACAAGTCTCCAGCTTAGGGTCGTGTAAGCATCCAGGCGCAGATTTGATCTGACGGACTCTGGGATTTAGGGCTACAGCAGCTTGAGGCGAATTGGCCTCCTCATCGCAAGCTTTCCTCACGAGTTGGCTTGACACTCTGCTGTAGGAGCTTATGCGGACAAGAGTCGGCATGCAGCAGATGCAAGCCAAGCAACGAGCATGATGTTTATCCGCTTCGCCTTTTATGTTTCGGTTCTTTATGAAATTCTGCGCAAGATAACAACAGAGGTTCCTCGTGGCCGAAGAACAGGGGCGACAGGCCAGACTCGAATCTGGATCGCTGAGACAGCAGCTGCAGCAGGCGGGGATGGGACTCGACTCGGCAATTCCCATAATGGCATCAGAGTGCATATTACGTGCAGATCGCATTAACCTTAGCATCGTGTCTGCATCTGCAGGCAGAGCAAAAGGCGGGCCAGGCCCAGGCTCCTGGGAGCCTTTGGAGCTCAACCTCAGACGCCTGAAGGCATACGTTTCGACACATGGCAGGGCAAAGACGCGGACAGCCCACTGTCGCCGCGCAATAAGGACCTGCCATCCGAGATGAGACATGCAAATTCCTCACCGGCGTCAGTGCTGTTTCTGCAGCATTTCGCCTGGAACGGGTTCAGGCAGTGTCTGTGTTGTCTGTGTAGTGCTTCTATCTCGGCAGAAGCCGAGGTGGCAGAATGCCCACCTCCAATCCGAAATCCGTCAGTACCAGCAGGCCTTGACGAACACCCGGTCCGAGCTGCAGTGCCTCGGCACCAGTCGCAGCCCATAGTCACGTTTGGCAACAGATTTGGGGTCTGCGGGGTGGCTTTTCTTCTCCCGAGGATGCAGGTCTTGGCCGGGCAGTTGATGGAGTCCAAGCACCACCTCCTTCAGGCTCGAGTCGAGCACCTCGAGCTGGACCTGGGCTTCAAGGCGAGAAGGGAGGGCGAGTGTTTGCAGTAGGAACGGGGATCGATCCCGTAACAGCAACCACCGGTTCCTGTAACACCCCCAGGCCGCCGCTCGTAACAGGAACGTGCAGTGCTCAAAGAATGACTTGTTTCACATCCATCCGCTCTTGTGGGCTCGCCAACTTAGGGACCGCTTTCCGGCCGCCACTTCTGCGGCTTCAAAGTGTCATTTCATGTAGCACTAGAAACGGACCTCCTCATACGTCCACATCAACCTTTGTCCTGAATTTTCGATGGCTACAGCATCGGTGCTGCCATTGACGCTCCAGAATAGCATTTCATGTGTCTGACGAAGGCTTCTGTGTGTGGTCTCGTCACTTCTTGCTTAGTCCTACTTCTGGTGCTAAGACCGCAACCCCAAGCCCCAAAGCCGTTCTCAAACGTTTAACACCGTTTTCGACCGGCAAATGCCTGAACCCTTCAATTTGACCCGTCAACAATGAACCCCTAAAACACTAAACCCCTGAACCCCTAAACCTGCTAAATACCTCAGCCGCAACGAACTAAAACACGAAAGCCTTTAAGCTTCAACCCAGAAAGCGCTGGTCTGTCCACGATGGCGTGCAACAGCCCGCCACCAATAGTAGTATCACTCGTGGTACGACAACTTCGACTTGCCTTAGTACGAGCCTTCTTCTAAGATAAAACATCCGTGTGCCTTCGGCAAAAACAGTATGAAGAAACAACTTGTGGCTTCAGAGCAAAGGAGTGTATAGCCGCTGCCATCAACCATGAACCTGTTGCAACCCCAAACTCTATATGCCTCGAACGAAACATAGGCGTCAGCATAAGGGTTTCATGGTGTCAAAGTAGGGGACCGAAAACCGGTCCCCCACACAAGAGTTCGAGCATAGTTTCGGTTGTTTGGCTTTCCTGGGACAGTTCCTGTTACGCTGATGGCATGGTTCCTGTTTCTACTAGCCCTCGTTCCCGTTACGACCCCCAGAATTGGTTTCCGTTCCTCCCCAAACGGGTTCCTGTTACTCCCCGCGCCCGGAGGGAGGGCAGGGCCCCAGGCCCAAGGCCGAAAGATTGGAGGGCCGCCTGAAAAGGCAAAGACAGCATCTGCGCTCTGAAAGCATGCTCGCTCTCTGACTTGGCGCCTGTTGGAGTGTTGCTCTCTGTAACGAGGCACTCTGCGGAGCCATTGGGCCACTCGGAGTGAGTAGGGGCGGCTGCATAGGGATTTGTTGTTCGGCCCACACCGCCCTTTGCACGCAGACGGTCTAACATCTCAGAACACACAGAGCTACTGTAGCTGGCCGTGAGTCGGCTGGGTGAAGCGAACCAGAGCGATGGCAGAGCAAAGGCACGAAGACGATCTCTTCGCAGATTTGCCAAAACTCAATTACAAGGCACCGGGCATACTGTGTTGAGGACAGAGGAACTTTCGGCTAGGCATGGCAGTGCCTTACGGCGTATCGTCTCGACGTTTCTGGCCATGTCCGGGCAGATGTGATATGATGTGATGTGGGACCCCAAAGGATGGCCCAAATGCTTCACACAAACTTGCAAGTTGGAGGACTTGCAAACAAGATTCCTCAAGCAAGCTGTACTGCGATGTGAGGCGACTGATGCCACAGCCGACCCTTCGTGGCTTTGCTGCAGTCACACCACAAAACATCAATTTGTTGTTAAAACCCCGTTTCTGCATCTCGGTTTCAGGCTTTCATCGCTTCCGAAGGACTTCAGCTTCCCCGGCTTGGGCTCTCCGACGTCTGGGCTCGGCTCAGCATTCGAGGGCATGCCACGCTCGAGCCCTTCTGCTGAATCCCGTCGCAGCTCGTTCAGCGTTCTACAGACTATTACAGACTCATGAAGAGAGTCTTGTGAGGCTTTGGACAAGGTCTGGACGTGGGACTGCCGTTTTCGTTGGCAGGCAGACCGGCAGAGCCGGGTAGGGCCGTTGGACTCTGGCCAAGCCGTTCCGTTCCTGTTTCGAAGGACAATCGATGCCGCCGCTGAGCGGGCTCTCAGGCCTGGTGGGCGACGGCGCCGGCCTTCCAGGAGGGTACATGAGGGGTATCTGTTCAAAGTCTTCCAGTTGCAGCACAGGATCTATTGGCACGACGTTCAGCGCTTCCCTCCCGAAGCCGATGCCATGAGAAAAACACCATGCCGAACCGATAGGTTTGGACATGTTTGAAATGACATCGCTACTTGTGGTTATGAACTTGCTACTTATTGTAAAGGCGGTCATCCCTTCTCTGACATAGCTTGTGTGAGTGCTTCTAGTAGCTTTCGTGGACAGATTCAGAGAAGACTCGAGTCTCTGTCTGATCTTTCTCGGGGAGATGCCCTGGCTCGTCATCGATGCAGCTGTCTCACCCTGCCCGACCTCAGCGTCGGGCTCGACACATCCTCGGAGCCCTGTTATATTCTGAGCTGCATCGGTTGGCGGCAAGTTAACGACTGCGCGGACCACTTTTCCTCGAATGGTTGCCGCCGCCGCTGCTGCTAACATGACGAACGCATTAAGCGGTGCATCATCAAAAGAGTGGCTGTGCAGCTATGGCATTTGGGCGTTCACAAGGCTTCTCCAGAAACGAGCCAGCACCCGCTGATACCATCTGTGCAAGAGCTTGTGCAAGAAGTGCTTCTGCTTGCTGCAATTCTTCTTCTGCAATGTCTGGTCTGGATCAAGCATGCCTTGACACAGCCTTGTGAGTCTTGTAGTTAGTGCAAAATTGTCCAGGGTTCTAGATCATAAACCACCGGTAGCCGGCGCATTGCATCGCATTGAACGCTAGCCTGGCACTGGACCGAGCCCCAGGCCGAACTGGGACCGGGTCGACAGCTCTCTGAGCAGGAGCTTGTACCCGCCTGCCAGGCTTCGAGTTTTGGGGATGTCTGCGCAGGGACTGCCAGCGCACATTTTGGCACTCTTTACTCCGAGGCAGGATGCACCAAGAGGGTTTCCGCTGGGAGCAGTGACCTTTCGAATTCATTTCTGTGGCAGGCCCCCGCCGCAACATCTACCCCCATGCGTCGTGAAAGCCTTGATCAAGACCTCGGGCTGTGCAGAGCAGCTTGCCTGATTCTGTGGAGACTGAGCGCAGCTGTCTCAGTCAAGACACGATGTTTGGAGGCAAGTGGAGTGTGTGCAGTTCCGAACAAAGAGGACTACGCGTCTGTACCTTTTGTTAGATTCTCATGGCGTTGTTTCTTCGTGGGTGTTGCCGTTGCTGCTTTTTTTTCGAATTGCTCTTGGAACTTGGTGAATGTTGACCGCCGTCCAAGCAAATCGGATGGCCTGGATGTTCTGAAGACCTCGACTCAGTGTCTGGTCGTCGTCGTCGTCGTAGTCGTCCTCGTAGTAGTCGCAGGAGTCGTGGTAGCAACAATATTATTTTTTTGATACCCCCCACATTGCCGAGGGACGCAACTGGGTGATCCCAAACGGGCACAATAGTTGGGTTCCAGAGACCTTCTGGACAACCTGAATTGAACAAAGATTTCTAGGCCAAACTGAAATTGTAGATTAGCCTTCTGTAACTTCTAGCTTCGGTGAGACATTGAAACCCCGGAGTCGAAATGGCTTAACTCGTAGAATGCGGCCTTCAACCCCGAAGCTTCGGTTGCAGCGTGTAATTCAGCAAGGAGTTCTCCCCAGAGAAACATTCGCTGAAGAATTGCGACTATTGCGGGTTCCGAAAAGATGCACAGGGAGCTGACCCGAGTTTTGGGATCTCACGCTACTCAGCAATCAGCATGTGTCAGATTGTCGCGGGGCCAAGGCAGAGATCTTGCACAGGTTTCAAACATGTTTAGATTGGTGCCACGCTTCTTGTCAACGAAGGTATGTTGAGTTCTTCTCAACGGAGCCTTCTCAGCACTCAGATGCCGAGTTGTGCTCAGTAGTATGAGCCTGACTAGTACAGCTGGTCTTCTGTACTTCTAAATAGAGGAGCCTTGGAAAGCACACGTTGATGGTGCCATTCCGCACGATTGTCTGTCTTCGTTGGGACAATTGACAGGGCCGAGAAGCGAGCCTTGGACTCTGTAAGGATCCGCCACCACCAAGGGAACCATGGGAGTCTCCGTTGGAGCGCAAAGCCAGAAGGCATCGAGAGAAGGCGAGAACTCTCCCGCTGAAACTGTAGACACCTCATGCGCGGCTGGGACAGGTTCAGGCACACAAAGCTGCACAGAAGAAGATCATCGACACCTATGATCCTCACAAGGACTAGTGGCTGGTGATGGCTGTCTCGTTGCGCTTCCGTCGCAAGTCCACCTCGAAGGACGCCAATGCAAGCGGCGATCCCTTTAAGACTCTCTTTGTTGGCCGCATAAGCCCCTCACTCAGGCCGTCTGGCAAGCTTGTTGGGAGTTTCAGAAGATGGCTGATTTGGCTGAGGCTACGACACGACAGAGAAGAAGTTGAAGCGAGAGTTCGAAGTCTTCGGGAGCATCAAGAAGGTTTGGGAGGGAATCTTCTCCTGCAGACTCCCACGTCTTCCAAGCAAAGCATGTGGCAGGTTCGCATGGTCTACGATCAGAAGGGCAAGCCGAGAGGTGCAAGCTCAGGGCGATTTGTGACGTGCAACACAGCCTCTATGTCTATGTAGCAACCAATGATGTATTGTGCCGGCATGGCCCGACGAGGATATGCATTCATTGAGTTCGAACATGAGCGCGATCTGAAGAATGCCTACAAGCAGGGCGATGGCAAGAAGATCGACGGTGGCTCCGTCGCAAGTGCTGACTTACATTGTGAGGGTTGAAAAGTACGGGACAGACAGAGAAGCAACTGTTTCAAGCATGTCTGAACCTGTCGCCATCAGGTCGACGTGTCATGGTGGACGTGGAGCGTGGCCGCACGGTTGAGGGCTGGCTTCCTCGCAGGCTTGGTGGAGGACGAGGACCTGGTCGCCAAGGCCGAATTTTTCGGATTGCGACCTGAGACGATTGTGGTCTGTCAAAGACCTCTGAGGCAAGCCTTCCAAGAAGAAGCAGAGGACCAGAGTGGTATTGAAGATAAAGTTGAAAAGCCCTTTGAAGCCGCCGTGTTTGCAGGAGGCTCGCGGAGACCACTGAAAAGCTGAAGGAAAAGGAGAAGGAGGAGAAGGCAGACAAGAAGAAGGACAAGGAAAAAGACAAGGACAAGGCGAGTTGACGACAGCAGCGTTTGAGCGCAGGGCTGCATGGTTCCAGCAGAATGATAGCCGACATGTCGTTCGCCAGATCCTCACTGCCTCCTGTTATCGCGGGTCCCTTGTTCGTTTCGCCATAGTTCGGCTACATGCAGCAAAGGCGTTTGCTGCGGCCTATCAGCAGAAGACATGCCAAAAGTGCCGGGGCAACAGCTGAAACCCAGGCAGGTCAACTGCTCAGGGTATCCTGGTAAACTCAGTTCGACTCGCAGCAGATGGCATCTCCTGCAGATACCTGTTCTTGCGTGACTCGCGGCTACCCACAAACTACTCCCCCTGTTTGAGCGGTCGGTGTTGCAGTGACACTGAACAACACTGACTGGCTGGCTGACACAAAATGCGTAGAGCAAGGGCTCCGACAAGGATGACGCACAGGCGCATCAACGCCGCTGATCCCTGCGCTGCAATGCTTCTGGCATCGCTTACAAATAAACGGATACGGGGCAGAGGCATCCAGCAGTGTCTTGCAGGACGATGATGACAAGAAAGACAAGAAAGGAAGAGACAAGGAAAAGGAGAAGGAGAAGGAAAAGGAGCGTGAGCGAGAGAAGGACAAGGACAAGGACAAGAAGAAGGACAAGGAGAAGGCGCCACCTTGTAAAAGCTGGTTCTTTGAGCAGCAGTGTGAGTATGCATGTGTCAAGAGACCTCTGGCTCCAGGAGCGCAAACGCGAACGCTCTCGCAGCCGCGACCGCGACCGCAAGAAGTAGATCTTGAGAAGCAAGGGCTGCGACTCGGTTGCATGGGCGCACAGTTTCGATCCGGTAAGAGCTGCCACTCAACATGTGGGGGCATAAGCCGCTGTACTTGATTCTGGTCAGGAATGGTCAGCATTTTGCCTTGTGATACCGGTTCTGAAACCAGATTTCCAGACTCAAACGGTATCGGTATGAACAGATCCGAGCCTTCAGCCTACTCAGCCCGAGGTTGATCCTGGAGGCTTGCAGCAGCCACCGTCCGAAAACTCGTGCGGCACCCAGAGGATATCTACCTCAGTCTGGGTCTTCATCCGCCTTGGCCGAGCTCTACAAGACATTAGAAGACCACGTTATCAGTTCCGGTGAATGCAATCAGGGTAGATCGTGCCCAGACTTAGACATCTGGTTGTTGGCCTCTCAAGTCTGACCGTTAGGTGCAAGGATGCGCTGAGTGGGGCTGCAGCCTCCTCCGAGAAGGCTCTGTAAGCCATAGACAGAACTCGCAAGTGCAGGTCAGTTAAAGCCAACCCAGAACACCAGCAGAAAGCATGAAACGTCGTAAAGTATAAGCCAGGCCAGAGTGCCAATTCAGTTTCTGCTTGTGGGCAAGTTGTCGGAGTCAACTGCCTACAATGGTCTACGACCGCTTACGTCTCGGAGCCGACCTCGTGCCTTGAGGTGAAAAGGCATCCTGAGTCGTCTTGTCTGTTGCATTCTGTTGCTGTGGGTCTCCGAGCTTCTGCCTCGTCTCTGCCGAACTCTGTTCTGGGCCTTGGTGTCGCAGACCAAATTCATTTGCTCGCGGACATGCCAGTCAGAAGTTTAGGATGCCTGGACTTTCTCCGAATCATAGCGGCATAGCTTCGCTCTTTGTCAGACGACTCTTTGTACCTCGCTACAGCAACATGGTTAAGCGTACGCGATGATGGAGCTGGCGTCATGTCCGGCGTCTACGACATTCTCTCCATCCGAAATCCTGCTATCAAGGACATGCCCGGCCTCATGCTTGCATATTTTGCAGCAGTACATCCAGGATGTCAGCAACATGATAAGAAGGAGCTCTTCAGACTCCGTGTTGGGCGAAGGCGTGCTCGCATGCCCAAAGGGCAATGCGTAGTTGCGGCCTCAGCAGCCGCATCCATTTACGGGCTTCTTCAGAAGACACATTGCTTCGAAAGGTGCGAGGTCGTCAGATTGTGCAGGCCATTTCGGAGCACTTCAAGTTTGACAAGGCGCCAATGCTGTATGCCCTCGATTTCAGAGCCATGGCCAGTGCACAGGTCTTCACGCATGAGTCGCGAGATGCAGCCAGCTTGTACAATGCAGCACATGCCTCGGAAACAGAGAGTTCAGTCGGCCCCAAGGTCTTTGCAAGACCAGGGCCATTGCAGACCTTGCGTTTTGAGCCTCCAAAGCCCGAAAGAAAGACAAGCGAAAGGTCCGGGAAAAGGTGTTCAAGCGCTTGAGCAAACGAGGTCTTATACCACTGTGTACATACGAGCGATGAGCTTGTCATCGCTATGTAGGTCAACTGCATGACAGAGATTGAAGGCATTCGAGGCACAGTCTGTCTCAGGATAAAGTTCTTCGCGCTCCAAAAGCCGTTCTGTGCGGAACCCAGTGCTTGCCTTCGTATGGACACCCATAGCAGTCACCAGAAGCAGGCAGCATGTGCTCTTCGGTCCGAAGGTGTCGAAGCCTTCGAAGTTGCGTAAGATTTTCACAGTGTTTCACCGGGGAGCGGCGAGGCACCTTCGCAGACCTTGGACGATGGGGACCTCGTTATAGGCTCGCAGTGAAAGGATCTCGCCATCGCGCTATCACATGTCCTCGCAGTCATACGGCCACAGGTCAAATTAAGCAGCCCGAGGCAACAGAAGAGCCGTGGTCCAATTGCATCGCAATGAAGTCACACCCTTCCCTTTGCTGCAGTCAAAATTTTGTCGAGTCAAGGTTCGAACCTTCACCGAGATGCTTGCTTGCAGTTGACAAGATCAAGCATCCGGAGAACATGGGTTGCCCTGTGCATGTTTGGGTTTGCCATGCCACTCTCCGAATGCCAGCTGCGGCATTTGCAGCAGGTCTCTTGCTGAGCACTGCCGTTGCATTGAAGTTCGATGGCGTGGTGTTCAGCACCGAATGCTACTAGGCTACACTGATCAGTCTAATGTGCCCTCTTGGGCAGCACAACTTCTGTGAGGCGTGGATCCCTTCTGCTACAAGGTGCTTGAAGCTTCCCAGGTTGGGATTCGGGTGCATTTTGTTTGGTAGCACACAAGAACCTGATTGAGGCAGTTGCGTGGACGCTGTGGGAGTCTTAGCCGACTCTTGGCCTGACCGCAGCATCCGCAGCAAGCAGCTGTGCTCAGAGTGAGGCCCTACCGGAGTTTTGCTACACCACAGCAGCTGGTCGAGCTCTGCGACAGGCCTTTTTCGAATCGCATGCCCGGCATGAGCCATGTCGTTTGCGAACACGGAGCCACAAGCACCGATTTGCGGGCGGCTGTTCTCTTTGTCCGCCAGCCTAAGAAAGCGATCAGAGCGGATGCGATGTGAAGATTCAGAAACAGCTAAACATCGGCCGGGTCCAGGCAGGCTGTGCGCATTTGTGTGGCTTGAGGGTTTGAGGGTCGCTTACTGACCCCCATGCCCCAGGAATGAAGGGGAAACAAGACGAGAGAGAGGACTAGAGAGCCCCAGAGCAGTGCCCCCAGGCGGTTCAGGCAAGCTCGGCTTTGTGGCAGAAGCTTGAAAAAGCTAACAATTGGACAGCAGAAGGGCTCCCTCCTCTTTGAAGAGGCCAAAGCACGACAGCACTCCCAAAATCCCTCTCTTCCTCCACAAGGGCAAGAGGAATGATCGCCCCAACCTTCTGCACGCGAGCGCACACATTCTGTCATTTCCTTCTGCTGGGCGTAGAGGTCGCGGTGGGCTGGCCTTGGGGTTCCAAATGATTGCGGCAGGGAGCTGTGCCGTCGAGAGCCCCCCCCCCCCGAACACTAACAACCCCTAATCTGGCCTCATCCCCAATATGGGGGAAGGAGTCTTGTGATTTGAAAATTACACTCACTCTTTCGGTCCCGGCCTCCGTCGCAGACACGTGTGAGCTTTACATTTCTGCGATAGCATGCGACAGCTGTGCCTGTCAAGCCAAGAGGGCAAGTAGCACAGACCGGCCTAAGCCATTCTGCCACAGTGACTGTTGCAGTGAGGGGACACAGCCGAACTTCGCCGAACACGCGGGGGATGGTACCTTTCGCACAGAGAGTTATGGAAACCTCCTCCTGCCTTGGCTTGGATCTCAGGGGGTTGCTAGTCGGAACTAGGCAAGGGTGCATCGGGGACGGAGTGCAGGCCAGGGGTTCAGCAGGTCTCGCGAGTTTCACGCCGACGAGGATCGATGAACCGGCGCATCGTACCAGAGCGTAAAGGTTTGGGCCTTCTTTCCAGTAATCTTCAACACATCTCAACCGCATTGGTAGGAAGAGAGCGGCAACAACAGCACAGAAGCGCTGAAACACAGCTGCAACATCCTGCGTGTTGACTTCAACTACTTCAACGCCTCTTTGATTCGGAGATTTGTCGGACTGTCGACTTGACCTGTGAGATGACATGGTTTCGTGGGCCCCTGGGCTGTTTTGCATCCAGGCACCAGCTCCTGCTATGTGCCGCGCATAAAGATGGCAAGGCGCTGTCGGAAGTGTCAGAAGCTCAGGCACGAATTCAACCCCTTCAACAAGCCACGTACAACGTGCTCGAAAGCAAAGGTCGCAGCTGTCCGGCAGCCGACGTGGTTTTTGCCTGGTTGTAGGCATGCACTGAAATCAGCCCAATTTGCTTGGACAAGCTACAGATCGCACAGACTCAGATGGTTATGGAAGGCAATGAGGCCGACGGCATTCAGAAAGAGCTTCTCAGTCGCTGCACGCAGGTGGACTTGTCACAATCAGACCATGCTGCAACGTCGCGTAAGCGGTACATCGTCTCAGGTAGCGTTACCCATGTCAGAACTGGTCGAGTCTCTCAATGCGGGAGTCGTCGCAAACTTAGTTTGCTGAGCTGACAGCACGGACCAGTAAGAAGTTGCAAGTACCCTGCTGAGGCAGGTGGAATCTTGTTGCATGCGCTCAGTTGCACCTGGGCGCAGCAGAGCAAGTAGCGGCCCGAACCTACTGATTCAACCTGATCAAACATAGCTCTCGAATTGGTCCGCATCACTTGATGACTTCCTATCTCCAACATGCATTGCTACTCCATGAATGGGTTAAAGTCTTCCGTTATTTGCAAGATTTACATGCAGGCTGAAAGGATATGAAATACGACAACACGAGCGCACAATAGATACGAAAAATATCATTAGCTTGAAACAAAATTTATCTTTCTAGATTCTATCATTATATGATTATATGAATTTCTTCCGAAGATAATCAGAAATGGTGAAAAACCTATATTATCGAAAATCATATTGATTTACTTAGATCTACTAGATTGGGACTAAATATTTCAATAGATTCTATAAATGACATATATGAAAATTAAAAAGATTGGATTTAATAAATAACAAATTCCTTCTAAGGGGCTTCTGCTTACTTAGATTATGAAGAATTGGATTTAGATTTCAATGGCATTTTTTAGGTCTATTTCTTTATTTATGGAATATTAATTTTCAGCAAAAAAAACGATTTTTTATTTTCGAAATTTTAGAAATCGAATGAGGGCTAAATCGATTCTATAATTTTATAGATAATGTAGAAATATTACGTTCTCTTAAATTATAGGAATAGATAATATTTCATAATATAATTCTCGGAGACGTAAAATCTTAAGAATTTTATATTTTAATATTGAAAAATAATTTCATTTACTCATACTATATTAATAAATTCTCCGGAGAGTGCGAGCACGAAAAAAGAGGATATAGTGTTCTGATTTATAGGATTATAGAATAAGAGCTTCGAAAAATTGAATAATATAGATAATAAAATATAAGAATTTAAAATTATTGAGGTCGCATTTTCGCCCGGCCCTCCCGGCCCCCCCCCCTCTCCTTCTCTTGCTCCTCTGTCTCCACCTCTCCCAACTTTGTAATAGATTCGTTTTGCCTTGCCATTGTTGCCTCTATTCTCTCTTTTTTCTGTCTCCATGTCCTATTTTTATAATTATTCTTTTTTCTGCTTGTTTGCCCGCCCACCTTTCCTTTTCCGGTTCCTTGGGGCGACACGGTTAGAGAGGCCTGAAGAATATGAAGAAATAGAAGCACGGCTTCCCCCGCCCAACCGCGCTTTGTTTGATTTTACCTCACTTGTCGGTCTTTGCCGTCTTG